TCTGAGGAGGGTGCCATCACATCGATCGCTTTGGGTCCGTTGTCCTCCGAGAGGTGGGAATCGTTCCTTCTAGTCCTCTCCTTCACACGCATCAGAGAGAAGAAAAAAAAAAAGGACAACGAAAGAGAAAGAAAACACACACACACAAAGCCACAGCCGTTATCTGGTGTAGTTGAAGCGGGGCTGTCTCGAGGCAAAGATCGCTCCCCCAACCCTGCAGGTGAAGGGCAGGCTGGAGGCACCTGCACTAGGGGCAAACCTTGGACAGCAGTTCTGGATTTGAAAGCTGCAACCAAGGCCAAGAGCCGGCCAAGTCCCTGGGCCCTACGGGATGCCAGCCCTGGGCCTCGCTCACACTTGGCTGAGGTTACCTTCAGCACTGGGTGGGCCAGGGGAGCCACGTGCAAAGCTGGCACTCTTTCTCTATACCAGTGATGCCCTGGGCCTACCTTTCTTTTCCGGGACAGAGGTACGTGGCCACGGAGCAGCCAGGTCAGCCTCTCCGCCACCGCTCATGAATGAGGGAGAACACACACTTGACCCAGGGCTCGAGGCACCAAGGGGTGGGACGAGAGAGTTGTAGGGGTGTCCTTGGAAATAGGAGACTCTCGTCTCTTGGCTTCACAGAGGCCAGGGAGGCTTTCCCGGGCAGGGACTGAGCACCAGGCTCCTCCTTGCCATGGGGGTGCAGCTGCAATTCTCCTTCAGCAAGAGCCAGCTCAGAGGATGCAGCATCACTGGATCTCAAGAAGCTGCCTGGAGAGCATGGAGTGGGGGTGGGGTGAACCCGGGGGAGAAGCCTGGGTGGGCCCAAGAGCCAGAGTACTCAGTCCCGTGTGAACTGCTGAGTGAAAGGATCAGGGTGAGTCTAACTCTCTCAGGTCTTCTGGAAAGATAAGAACATCCGGTTTGGCCAAGGAGAGGGTGGGGCTGCCCAAAGACCCTGAGACTAGACTATTTTCTGTATTCCTTAAAATCTCTCCTGAGAGCTGTACAGGACAGGGGCTGGACCCCTTATGAAGGAGCCCAGAAAACTGAATAGTCTCCTGGCCGACTTTCTTCTTGTATACGTGCCAAAATTTTTCCTCTCCAAGAGGCAAGTGCAAGAAATCGGCCAGTGAAGCCATCTCTGGTCCATTCTGCCCCGCTTTGAGTCCCATGTTCCTTCTGTAATTTTGGTGCTTTGTCATCTACTCGGCCATGCCCAACTGCGCAGGGGTGGCTGGGGAAACGGAGATCCTGTCCAATCTAAGCCACAATGCACACCACCTGGACCTCCTTGATCGCCCTCTGGGTTTGGAGGGGCTCTGCCTCCCCCAAGCTCTTAGCTCACTGTAGCTGCCCTCCCTCCCTGCCCTGAGTATGCTCCACTTTAGTCTGGATTTAGAGCAACTCTTGAAAGCTGCAAGGCAGGGCCCAAGTTTAACCCACTCAGCTAACAGCAGACAGATTACTGATGTGAAGTGCACGCAGGAGGTGCAATGAAGCAGTGGAGGGGAAGCTGGCGCACCTGCCCTGCTGTGTGCCCTGGCCATGGGCGCACAGTGAGCCTGGCTTCCTGAAGGGTCTGCTGGCTTTGGCCACTTGGTCCCGGGGAATTATCTGCCTGGATGCTTTCTCACAGAGGGATGCACTGGGACCGACATCCCACTTCTCAATTTGACATGGGCCTGGCACCTCAAGCAACCTACCTGTCCCCAAGGCCCGAGAGGGCTCTGGGCAAAGTTCCCCTTGAGCAACCCCCAAGGCTCCAGGGCCCTGAGTCCTAGGCCCCTGGCCCTCCGCGACTATGCTCCACGCTGCTCCCACCGCCAGGCGGGGCTGTGGCCTCCACACCGGAGCTGACCTTGGAGAGAACTGTTAGGCCAGTCCCGCCTCCCACGCGTCAGCTGCCAGGGCAAAGGGTGGAGTGAAGAGACAGACAGTGGACAGGCAAACAGTGGACAGGAGATGGCTGGCTGAGTGTAACTACATTCACTGGGACAACCCATGGTTGGAGCAGGGACACCTGCCCACAGCTGCAGAGCCCGCAGCATGTTTGGGCGAACGTGAGGAAGACGTGACTATGGGTGGAATTTGGTCTGGCCACTTGGGGCCGACCCCCCAAAACAGACAAGCCACCTTTGCCCAAGAGACCTAGTGGGCCTCCACCAGATGTAATTACACGCAGGCAGATGCACGGCGTGGGCCGAGGACAGAGTGCGAAAGGGGCCCCTACTTGTATTCCTATAGATGACAGTTTCCTTTTGGGAATGGCCTCAGGGTGGGATTCGGAGCTGGTCAGCGTCCCTTGTTCGCTCTTCAAAGCTGCATGTTTTGGGGGTGGCTCAGGGGCCTCGGGGGCTGGGGTGACTCCGCCCCGTGTCACACTGGGCGGTCGGGTACTGCTGTCCAGGCTGTCCGACGAGTTGCTCAGGCCGGACTGGCTCGTCACTTCGCTCTTGTGGTCCTGGCTGTCCAGGTAGGTGTCCTGGGCAGACTCGGTGCTGCTCTGGACCGTCACGGAGATGAACGGCTTCGATGTGGTGCGTGGAGGGACCGGTGGTGGGGTCTTCTTATATGCCACTAGGCATGATGAACCTACAGATGGGTGAGAGGAGGGCAGGGGAGAAGGTGAGGCCCCAGCCCTCTCGAGCCCCTTTCAGGGCTGAGGCCCTACCTGACCCGACCCTAGCTCTGGCCTCGGTGAGGATTTCTGGAGCAGGAGAATTGGGGTCAGACACAGCAATGACCAAGACAGACAGACACAGGCCCTGCCCACCTTCATGCTGAGCCAAGGCCAAGTCTAGTGGGGGATGACCACATGGACTAAACACACCCTCCACCTGAGTCCCACACAAAGGTCTTATCCATCCGGGGCATGGGCTGGATGGTGACAGCAGAGTGGCGGTCAGGACAGCTAAGGAATGGTTAACCTCACTTGTCCTCAAGCTCACCGAGAGACCTACCACTCCCCTGCCCAGGTCTTTTCCTCCTACCCTACCTTCCCTCCACCCTTGTTTCCTCTGCCTGGATGCCCTCTCCCTGTCTGGTCAGAGACCAACACATCCTTCAGGGCTCAGCTATCCTTCCCCACATCTTGCCATTCCCACCCCACCCCTCACCTTGTTATGTGAAAACCCCACACACCAGTCTACCTCCCCCAAGACTCCATCACTCCTGGTCAGACTCTCTGTTCTCCACCAAGATTCAGGGAACCAGGACCCGCCACAGGTGGGAGTTGGTGTCTCAGAGTCCCATTCTGAATCTGGCCCAGGGCTGGCCCACAGCTGGCTTTGTAAACGCTGAACTTTTTGTTCTGAAACGGGAGGTGCTTTTCAAACAGCAGTAGCTACTTGCTGTGAGGGGCTGGGTCACATCCAGCGGCTTTTCTCAGCATCTTAACTCCAACTGCCCTTTCCCCAGTGAGGACTGAAACGAGCCTCTCCCCGGGTGAGGCCCGGGCCAGAAGAGGAGCCAGAGGAGTGGCTTTAAGCCTTGCCTTCAAGGGACTGCCAATCACGGTGATGGTGATGGCTCATTGGAAACCCTCAAAATGAGGCCCAGTGCCACAGGGGCAGTGACAAGGCACAGCAGAATCCATTCATCTGCTTCTGTGAGATATCACTACGCAAACATCAGAATGACCAAAATAAAAACCGGTGACAACACCAAATGTTGGCGAGGATGTGGAAAACTGGAATCACTCATTCACGGCTGGTGGGAGTATACAATGATAAAACCATGGAAAAGTAAACATGCAATTACCATACAACCCAACAAGTGCACCTTGGGCATTTATCCCATAGAAATGATAACACATTCACAAAAAACTTACACAGGAATGTTCATGGCAGCTTTATTTGATATAGGCCAAAAGTGGAAACAAGCTCACCGAGAGACCTACCACTCAATGGGTGAATGGCTGTGGTGCGCCCAGACCACGGAACACCACTCAGAAACAAAAAGAAATGAACCACTGATACAAGCAACTACTTGGATGAATCTCAAGTGAATTACACCGAGGGAAAAAGCAATCTCAAAAAGTTACAAACCACATGATTCTATTTATAAAGCATTCTTGAAATGACCTAATTATAGAGATGGGAACAGATTAGTGGTTGGTGGGGAGACTAGGGGGAGAGAGTGATGGGGAGGCTGGAGGGACTTGGTTATACAGGGGCGACAGGGAGGACCCCAGTGTGTACAAAGTGATGGGAGTTCTATATCTTGACTGTGGTGGTGGATTCATGAACCGACACATGCAGTGAAACTGCAACAAACTAAAAAAACCACAAGGTGATACAAGTGAAAATGGTGAAATCTGAGTAAGATTGGTGGGTTGTACCTATGTCAATATTCGGGTTATGATAATTATACTACAGTTTTGCAAGATTTTTCCATTGAGGGAAACTGGGTAAAGGGTACACAGGATCCCTCTGTATTATTTCCTACAACTGTATGTAAATTACATACAATCACCTAACAATAAAAAGTGTAATATGCAAAGCCCGTCTGTCTGTTTGCCTGACAGAAATGTACTCGGCCAGCCCTGCACTGGGGTCCAGGAGAGCTCGGAGCCCCGTCAGCAGAGAAGCAGCTGCGATACAACTACTTCAAGAGCGAAAGGCCACAGCAGAAAAGCCCAGGAGCTGCGAGCCGCGTCTTGTGCTTGGCCTAGTCTAGGTGACTAAGTGCTCTGGGAACTCAGAGCCAAGAGCACTGTTCCTCCTCTGTTCAAAATTTCCCAGTTCTGCTCAGGGATCCCCCCAGACAGACACACCCACAGTCTCTGACTCCCCAACCCAAGAAGGGTGGTGCGGGGGCAGGAGGCGGGGCTTCGGTCTGCAGGAGAAGGACCCTCCAGGGCCCTGCCCCGTGGAAAGGGACGGGCCTGCTCTGGAAGATGAGCTCCTGTGTTCAGCTGGTTGTGAGGCACAGGCTGACAGCCGAAAGCTGGGCCGCTTACTGAGCTGTGCTCAGCAGCTTTATGGCTTTGTAATTTACACCTCACGGTGACTCTGTGAGGTGGGGATATGATTATGCCCATTTTAAAGATGTGGCACGCGAGGCTCAGAAAGTTAGATAACTTGCCCAGAGCTGCCAACAGCAAGTGACAATCACATCTGTTCGGCTGCACAGCCCACCACACTCCACTCCCCGGGCCTCAGCCGCCCCCCCCCCACCCCCCGTTTTCTGGGCTGGGGCTGCAGGTGTCTGAGGCTTTCACTGACCACTTTGCCCCTCAGCATCCTGCTGGACTCTGGAGCCAGTGTGCAGGGGCACATCCAAGCTGAGGCCTGACTGCTGGAGGAGGAGGGGCCTAGACTAGAGGCAGAGGCCTGGCTTCCAGGCCCCGACAATGCCTCACCGAAGTCCCTGTCCCCCAGTGAATTTTCAGTACCTTTATCTGTTCAGTGGGGGTGGAGGAGTTCTAACAGCACACCGTATTCACATAGCTCTTGACTAACTCACAGCATTTTCCCATTTATGCTCTCATTTAAGGGTAAGTATGGAGGCTCCCCTCACTGTGACTGAAAGGGAGACTCCTGCTAGGAATCCCTCCTCCCCATTGCCTGAAATTCTACCATTTGAGAGTCATTCCTTTGGTAGTGAGGATCCAAAAGCCAGAAGGCAGCAGAGAACCAGACAAGCCTGAGTTCAGACCCCAGCTCTGTCATATACCAGTTGCGTGGCCACGGGGAGTGATTACATAGGCTACATCACAGAGGTCAAGGCTCAGACAGCCCAGTGCTGGCATTGCTCTGACTAGTTTCTGGTACAGAGGGAGACAGGCCTGGAGGACAAGGGGTGAACCAAAATTTTACCACTCCCCAGACACTGGTGGGGAGGCTGGACTGGTTCTCTGACCAGCCAGGGGCAGTCTCCCCCAAGAGCTGGACATGTAGAGAAGCCCATTCAAGCCCATGACCACCAGAGCCCAGCAGAGACACGACTCATTGGGGATTTCAGGATTTGTTTGTTTGGCCTAAATATCCCAAAAAAGCTTCAGTGGAGTCTTCTGCCCCAGATCAGAAAAGCGAAGCCCTAATCTGCTCAAAATGTTTAAGGGGGGGGAATATGCCCCTAAAGGGGGTGGCAGTGAGCATGAGGACCCAGAACTGGGCTCTAAGCCTGGCGGAGGCCATGTGACCCCAGTCAGGGTCCTTGTCCCCCACCTGTGGTGGGGCTAACACTGGCCTGGAGGAGTCAGTCTGTGCAGGGACCTGCCCCGCCCAGGAGATAATGGGACTGTCCAAGGGCCTGGAAAGAGGACTGACCCTCCAGCCTCTCTCTCAGGGTTGTGTAGGCCAGAGTCCTGCTGACACAGCCACTCATTAGAGAGAAAGTGAACTAGAGGGAGGCCAGGCCAGATGGCCAGATGTGGAAGAAGAAAAAGTGAACTCATCTTGGATTCTCTATGTCTCCTGGGGCACAGGTGACAGCCAGACAAGTGGTGTGACTAATGGAGAGGATTTCGGGGCATCTCTCAGCTGTGAGCACTGTCCCCCCCAGGGCAGGGGGATGGGGCCCGAATCTACAGGACAGCTCTCATTTCACAGGCGTGAAATGCCAAGAAACATAGGCCAACACCTCCCCCAGCCCCTTCCAACGTGGCAATCCAGGCAGTCTGTGTTCCTCCCGCCCACCACACTTCCTCCCACCTCGGGGCCTTTACACAAGCTGTTCTTTCTGCCTGGAAGGCTTCTCTCAGCACCTCACATGTTTCAAGTGTCACTTCCCCTAGGAGGCCTCCCCTGACTGCTCCCTACTCTCCCATCACTCAGGATCTCCATCAGGGCGCCCATCACATTTGTCATCAGCTCAGCGAGGCATTTACTTGCTGATGGTTACAGGCCTGAGGCAGCTGGGGGCTCTGTCTGTCTTGGCACAGCAGGTCGTGTCCCGGGCCCAGGGTAGTATCTCAAGCATAGAAAGCTCTCAATAAATATTTGTTGAATAAGAAGAAGAACCTCATCATCGCTACAAAAACCCCTCAGTTGCCAAAAATCAAGATTTAGCCATAGTGAAGGCTCCCGGCACTTTAGAACCCAAGGTTCTAGTCCCATCTCAAATTTGGAACCCTTTCTGCTTGGTCCCACCCACCCATCCCTACAGCCTCACCTCCTGCCCTCCCACCCGCTCAGCATGCCCCTTCCAGCTTCACAGAACCCACACACCCTTCGCAAACACAGCACACTCTTCAGGCGCCAAAGCCTTTGCATGTGCACCGTTTCTGCCAGAACCCCTCTGCGCATCCTTCATGCTTCCCGTCCTCTGGCCAGTCCCTCCACTCTCAGCCCTTTCTGGCCCAGGCAGAGTCCGACCCTCTCCTCTGGAGCACTCAGGGCTGTGGCCAGGTCTCCGAATGAGCGTGTGTCCCATGCGGGTCAGCAGCCGGTCCCCAGTCCAGAGGGTGCACAACCATCATTTGCCAATTAAACCTTAGAGGGAAGCAAGTGCCCCCAAGACCCAAGATGTTGGTCCGGCCAGGATGTAACTGCGGTCCTCCCTGTCCTGGGGAGACATTCTATGTGCCACAATTTACACCAAAATGGCATATGGGTCCAACTCTCTGTCCATTCACTCTTGGAAAACTT